AATGTTTAAAAAACATTAGCGGAAAACTTTATACTGTTTTGAAGCTGGCAGTCGTACTTCTGTTAACTTTCTTTTGTGGGATTTTCTAAACAGACTCGATTGAAATATAAATTATATTTTTGGGATCATAACGGGATATCAATTTTGGGACCAAAATATGACATGTTTGTTAAAGTCTAAAATGAACTGAGCACTTACTTTCAAGGATCCCAGTTCTATATTTCGTTTGCCTCTTCGTATTATGCCCTTCATATCTGATTCTCCTTGATGTAGTTATACCACGTTTGAAACTTCTTAAGTTTATGGTTTAGGTGGCTTTTAGCAGGCTAATAATCAGATGCGTATGCTTATGCTTTGCAATTTGCAGCTGGCATGACAAGGCTATGATGTTTGAACACTACCATTGGAAGAAAGCTATGAAGAAGAATGAACCCTATCAATTCAAGGTAAGACTTTTCTGATCAAGAATTAAAAATATGAAGCATCCTTTGTTCATGATGTTTTTGTGAGGGTCAAAAGTGGTTTCACTTTCATGTTTAGCTTCTGTTATATTTTGTTTTCTCCTGTTGTCGTTTATTGTTTATGGGGTAGAGGCGGGCATAGAATATGACAAGACCATCTTCCTATTCACTATTTAGTATATCTTGTTTCCCAGTTCCACACTAGTGCTCTATCAGGTTATTATCCTTGATATTTATCTTTAAAGCTTAGTATGCTGTGGTTGGTCGGAGTCAAGAATATCATGTAAATGGTTTGATTATTGCATTTTCAAGTAATGAGTTCCCGTTGGTTGCTGTTGCGTTAATCATTCTTTTACCAGTGGAACCAGGACATGACGAAGCCATTGCGTGATTCCTACTACTACAACTGGCCAGTTTACTTTACGTAGCTGCATCGGTGCTACTTCTTTGTTAGTTCTTCTATCACAACAACTAGAAATTTCTTTTGAATTTGTTCGTGTTAAAACATGAAACTTGGTAGATGAATTGAAAGTTCAGTTGTAGATTAAGTCTAATGCCAATTCCATTACTTGTGTTTGTAGACTTATTGCAGTCTCTTTTTTACTTGTATCTCTACTCTGTTTTTGCTGGGTGTTCCAAACAAGAAATTCATTCTGTTTAAACTTCCAGTGGATGTAGCAGCTAACAGATGCAAGATTTTTAATAGTGACTTTTTAAACTTCCAGTTATTGTACGAGAAATGCATAATTTGCGCGAGATAAGATTTCATCTCATGCAAACCTGCAGTTATCCAAGGAAAAAAATGCATAATTTGCACGAGATAAGATTTCATCTCATGCCTTCCATAATGGTGAGAGATGCTCTGCCATCCAAGAAGGACCAGTGGCTGGAAAACATGCAGACTCGAGGATATTAGGTCAGTGGTACCATTCTAGTTTACCTGTCATACAAGTTTTAGAGTAGCAGTGAAGGTTACTCACATTCAAGCATTTCTACTAGTGAAGAGTGCCTGTCAAGCACAGCATTTATCCATCTTAACCGTATTGTTCTACTCCTGCCATTGGAATGCTATACCTGTTTAAACTGGAGCTGGTGTTCATGCATCATAGCTGATCCTTTCGTGCTAACTGATGTGTACTACTCGGCAAGAGAATTACTCCCTGTTAGCTGTGTCATTAAAACCACAGGAAATAGTGTTAAAATAGAGCACACAGTTATGCATCTCCACTGAGGACAGATGTGGATTTGTAGGGGTATCAGAAGGGTAATTAGACTTGATGAGGGTAGGGAGAGTGTGACCACTAGTTTGCCATGATGACCACTGCAAGTAAACGCATCGGTCTTATGTGGACCACTAGTTTGTCTACAGGCAATATGCTACATCGCATGCACCTGTCATAACACACCTACAACTGGACTTTATTGCTGATGTTTTCTTTGGGTACACGCAGTTGTCTTCCCCAACCAAACGATGCTTCACGTTCAACACAAGCTACGACCACAGCCTTGCAAGAGTCCCCACCTTTTCTGGTGCAAGAGAACCACACTCTTAGATCACTTCATTGTTCCCTTGCTCGTATGATCGATCGCCACAGCACACAAGCTTTTACCAAGTGTGTTGAAGGCCAGTGATATGGAGATCCACCTCATCGCTCCTGGATCGTGGAAAGAAGACGAGAGTGCAAACAGTCAGGCTGTTCTTTTCTAGACTTGAGATTATTCAACTTCCAGAAGAAGCAAATCACGTATCACTTGAAGTCATTATCAGAATATATATAGATGACAATTCAACTACAAACTTTACGAAGGACAATATTGATACAGTAAAATGACTCGTGTTGACGTAGGGGAATCGAAGATATAATTGTTGTTCTGTAGAAAATGGATAACAAATAACATAAGTAAACAAAATATTGATGGTGACATCCAAAGAGTTGAGAACCTTTTACAGCTCACTTAATATTTCTGAAGCAAGAAAAAGACATTTCAATTCATTTAATGATTGCTCACCAAATAGATTACGAGAAAACCCAAATCATTCAGCTACTAAGTCAAACAAAACAGTGGGTTTGGCACCCACTATTGTCGTACTAGTAAGAAAGAATCGGCATACGGCAACTACTTTTTTGTTATTAACAGCTTCGAATAATTTTTGTGAAAGCATGTCAAAGCAAAAGATTATTGCATCTGTACAGCTTGACATACCAATCAGCTACAGTTCTTTTAGTGCTATAGAAGATGATTTATATCCAAAAGAAGGTAGAAGATGGGGTCTGTCGGTGCTTGCAGGTCCAAATGCTCCTCGTGAACAGTGACGTATAAAATAACACAGGATGAACCATGATATTATTGATTAATCATGTATTAAATTGGCATGGCACACATGCATATGATTTAAAATGGTTTTAAACAAAATCGCCTGCGATTGCGAGCTGGACACTTGGTCATCGATTAGAAGCTTATCCGTAAACTGGATAATTCAAACAACTATCACCGATTATTACTAGTATAAAAAGCATATATCTCGTCTCATATATTTAGCCTAAGCATCAAGGTGGGTTGGCATACAACTTAGAGTCTATGGTTGGTTGGGGCTAATTACACGTTACCCATTATCTCTTTAATATTTTTTTTATTTTTTTAAAATTTTATATTAAAATTTTTAAAATAAAATATTTAACTTTATTTATCCTGACGTCATCGGTTTTACCGACATAAAATATAACACGTATATAAATGACATGAAATAATTAGTAAAAAGATAATTTCAATAACAATGGTGGATAGTGACATTATGGATGACTGTTATGGTGATAGTTAGCGAGAATAATGTGATGGTCAATCTTGTCAATATCGAATCGAGCATCAATGATGAGGAGGTAGAGTGATGAGGAATCTGTATTAGTCCTAGAGAAAGAAGAAGAGGGAGGTGAGACATTAGTGTTGGCGACGCATTGCTCTATCTCTTCTTCTTCTTTCGATGATGTAATGGTTCGTAGGAACGAAAAAGAGACAGAGCAATGCGACGTACTGCATTGTTCGATAAAATTAAGATAAATAAAATTAAATATTTTTATTTTTATAATCATAAAAATTTTAATATAATTTTTTGAAGTATAGAGATTGACACGTTAAGATGTCTAATCACAAGGTAACGAGTTAAATCTTCTTTTTTGATATATATGGATATTAATCTGTCATTGGCATCAATAGTTGCATGGGAGAGGAGGCGATATGGAAGGGATCACCGAAGACTTTCTCATCGAATAAATATCCTCCAACACCACTAAAGGGGGCATGCATCCGGATGTGATCCACATTCAGCAAGCGCTCCAGGTCGGTCTTCGGATGCATGCAAGATTCTTGATGGACGACAACAACAGCAATATATTCTTGACGGATGACGATGAGATCCACGTGGGCCCCTCTTTGGCTTAGACATGGATGCTGTGTCCCTGTCACGGTGGCGGGCACATAATGCCACGTTGGAGGAGTCATCCTCTCTCCCTCTGTTCATGGCGTACCGTTTCGTCCAACTGCGTGGCTGCTGCAATTATTTAGCGCGCGCCCCCCTCCCCCCAACTTGACGCTTTGCACTGCGTCGTATCAGCGCGAATCAAACGTCAAAGGATCGGACGGCTGATTGCCCGCCCACGTATCCGGATCGGGTCCCAAGGCTGGCGAATCGGCGCTGCTGCGGTCCGGAACGTGACCTCAGCGAAGATGACGCGTCCCGGCAGGCCGGATCCGATGGAGATTTCGAGGGACCGCGACGGCGCAACTTGCCCGCCGCGCTAGCTGTCACGAGGTCGCTGTCCGACGACGTGGCGGCAGACGCGACGCCCCACGTCCCGCCTCGCTTTTTCGATGTCGCGCAAGTTGGAGAGGGCGTGGATGTCACCTTCGATTTCGGTGGGCCGAGGTGGGCATCCCAGTTGGAGCAAGGCACGTGGCCGGCTCGTGGTCTCCGCCCGGGTCCTCTGGGCTCCTTTTTGACCGCGGGTCAAACACTCGGCAGCTGTGACTTCCCGGTGCATCACGCCACACATGGATCACCGTAGGTCGTGCGTTTGACGGCTCCTGATCCATCCGTCAATCCAGATCGGACCGTTGGCGAACGACCACATTTCTCGATTATACAGATATATATTCGGGAATCATAAAAATGTGAATTGGCGATGTCACGAGGAGCCACCGGAGGACAGTGCGACACGTGTCTACGAAGCCACATCTTTTCTCCGATCGAAACGTGTCGCCTGACGGGTCCCCACCGTAGCCCGAAGAGTCCCGCCGCTTGTGTCGCGACAACCCCACCCCCATCCTTTTCTCGCCACGTGTGGGTTGGGCCAGCACAAGTTGGACAAGTGTCGCGTTAAGGGCCCATCGCTACGTGGAGGGCGTTTTGGGGAAGCTCCAAAAAAAGGTCCGGGAACACTGAAGGAGGAGCGAGCGGTCGCCCTCGTCCCCTTCCCCCGCGTCCTCTCTCTCATTCGTCGTCAGATCTTTAATGGCTTCCTCCTCGATTCCGCTCGCAACTGTGCGTTCTCGTTAGCTTCCTGAAGCGAAAAACCCCCCCGCCCCCACCATATTCCCTGTTTTCTTCTCCTCCCCGGTGCTCTAATTTCGCGTTTCTTTCGTCGATTTGCTCACAAGATCTTGAGTCAAACGCGAACACACCGACTGGATGTTGAACGTGTCGGTGAAAAGACCAAACCTGTGAACGATCGTTCACTCTTTGATGCAGTTTTGGTAGTTTTCATTTCCTTTGTTCCTTTCTTCGGTTTCTTGGTTCCTTGCGGATCCTGTGATGGAGGGCGAGGCAGCGAAGGGGGGAACAGAGCGGCTGTTATTGGGAATGGAACGATCCGCGAGAGATTTTTTGCGGCGATTCGTTGGGAATGGATACGGAGACGAGACGACGGAGGTGACGGAAGGGGACTCCGATGAGATCGAGCTTAGCCTCGGGCTCTCCCTCGGTGGGTGCTTCGGCGCGGACCCCAAGGGGAAGAAGCTGGTCCGCTCGTCGTCGATCGCGTCCTTCACGTCGCTTCCGTGGGAACCCGAGTTCCCGGTCGTCCCGGCTGCCGCCCTGACGAGGACGAGCTCGCTGCCTACGGAGACTGAGGAGGAGCGGCGGAAGCGGAAGGAGATGCAGAGCTTCAAGAGGTTGGAGGCGAAGCGGAAGAGATTAGAGAGAAGGAATTCGATCAGGTCGGGGGCGGCAAAGGCTGGGGAAAAACCAGACGAGGAAGTGACGGGTTCGATGGCAACGGCGGCGGCGGACCATGTCGCAGGCGCAAGAAATGGGGTTACTCCTCCAGGTCTGCCGGCTTGGACGGTGGGTGGGTCGAAAAGGGCGGCTGCTCGGCCTGTGGACGTGCCTGGGAACTTTCCGCCGATCTCACATGGATCTCTTGGATCGCAGGGGAGCAGCACCGCCGGCGCGTGTGCCTTGGGCAACCGGGCACCGCAAGGTATTGAATCCACGTTGACTACCTTGGTTATTCTTTTTTCGCGTTATACGCGTTTCATCAATTGCCTACGACTGAATTCTTTTCCTTTTTACTTACCATATAGTTACAGTATATGTATTTTGCACAGGGTTTGGCATGACAGAGACGAAGAACTCCTCCATGATCCACTCGGCGGGCAATGAAACATCAACCAAGCAAGTTGCTGTAAGAGCAAATGGGATAAAGGAGATGGAGAGGAAGATGATGGAGAAGATGCCATTCGTGTCTACCAGAGGCGATGGGCCCAACGGGAGGAGGATCGAAGGCTTCCTGTACAAGTACAGGAAGGGGGAAGAGGTGAGAATAGTGTGCGTGTGCCATGGCAGCTTTCTCACCCCTGCCGAGTTCGTCAAGCACGCCGGTGGCCACGACGTCACCAATCCCCTCCGCCACATCGTCGTCAACTCCTCCCCATTCTCCTTGTTGTGACCATGGACTTCGATCGTCACAGAAAACAAGAAAACATAATACCAAGAGATGCGTTCGGGTGTACGTGTTCTTAGCTGTAGCTAGTAGCTCGAGGAGGCCGAATCCTGCAGAAGCTGCAACTGTGGGGGGATATGCATAAACAAGACGAGAACCAATTTGTTGGTACTATTTCAGAGGTAATGGAACAGCAGAGCATATATTACATCCAGTCAATACTAGCAAGCAATTAGCATTCTTCCATGGAGGAACAACGCCAGCTGCTAAGATTTGGTCAAAAAAGGAACGCAATAGAACAAGATGTTTAAGAGACGGACAACTTGTGGATCTCTTCCAAAAGGTAGCTCGACTCAGCTGCGCAGTCCACAGGAGCCTCAGCCCTGACCGTTATCCTCTGCCTCCTGTCATTCATGAACTCGGTGTATGCAACGCTGACCCGGAACAGGTGCGGAACCCATGTTGCTTCTTTCAGTTTGAGTTGGTATTTCTCGTCACCTTCCTGCATACATCAACAAGGGAACAAGATGACTGAGCCATGGATCAAGAACAAGCAACGGATCTTACTGGTTTTACTTTCAGAAGTAGTTACCTCTGTTTTTACCCTGTCAAGCTCATCAGCAGAGCATCCCATGATTTTCTCTGCCGGCTCATTGAAAACCGAAAGCCAGGCTTCACCTGAAGGATCCGAGACCTTTACCACCATTATATATCTGTACAGGCACAATTGGACATTAGGAAGTGTGAGAGCTAATGCATGCTTGCTTCTCTTTCTTCTAGGCTGTATATTGTTACCTTAAGGAGCACTGATCATCGTTCTTCTGGCACGATTCACACCAGTACCCAGAACCAACAGCTTCGGTAACCTTCTTGTTGCATGTCTTGCATGCTCGGTACCACATTGTCTGGTCAGGCTTGATGAAACTTACGTAGACGTTTATGCTGAAGAAGGCAGGCTGTCCACGAAGTAGTTCAGAAGAACCGGGAAATGATGATGTTACACAGCTCATTAATTATTTTTTTGTTGGCAAATTCATCAGTTCGTACCTTATCTTGACCCAGAGTTGGATCGTCTGTTATTTGAGAAAGGAAGACCCTATCAGAATACATGGACCTCGATCCAGTCTTGGAGTTAGGGGAGATCAAGTTTGAACCAATGGATGCCATTGAAGTGCCTTTCCCTTCTGAATCATACCTGTCGAATCACAGCAAGAAAGTAGTTACATTCGCAAGCTGACAGTATACATTTGGAAGCCAAGAATCTCACCAGGATCTCAGCTTCTTTGTTTCAGGTAAGTCTGGATTGATCACCACTGTGCTTCTGCTTAAAGTTGATAAAGACACGCCTACGACATGCACTCAAAATTATGAATATGGTAATACATTGACATTTTGCATTCCTCTCTTTCAAAACTCGACAAAAACGGAGTTATTAAGAACGCGGAGTACCTTGGAAATCTCCTACTTTAAGGCATTTTATAGCTACAACCGGAGAGGTATCAACCATGTCTAGCAACTGCTGACCAACATCAGTTGCGAGATCATTCCAAAGAGAGACATTAACAGTTTTATTCCTGCAACAAAATCGGTTGAAAGCTCATCAAATGTAAATATGGTTGAATCAGACATGAAGTAGAAATGAAAATAAATCAGACACGCATAACATACGAATCATCAGCAATCGTGATATCGCGCTTGGGAATGGTGTCATTGTTGCTTTTCCTCCGGATGCTTAAAGTCGATGAAACATTCTGAACAATGCCGATCAAGTCTGCATATAAAAGAAACAAGGATTTCTTGGGGGAGGCTACTAAAGAATATTCTCACAAACGATCCCAGCAAAAGCACATCTAGTTTTACCTACAAGCTCCCTGCCATTAACATAAGCTCCCAACCTATCGATCCTGACAAAGTTGTACTTGGTTTCGGGGACGAACGCCTCCCCTTCGACCTCTTCAACTATGGAGTTCTCATTCAGGGTCATCTCGTAATCATTTTGCACGGTTTTAAACTGCTTGTTTGCAACCCTGAGAGAACCTTTTGAGATATAGTAGACTTTGCCTAACTCAAATTTAGGATAAAATTTTGTTGCCGCTTCATTAAACATGGTAGCTTGAATTTGGGTACCCTGAAAACGAATTTAGCATAGTTTAACAATAAGCAATTAAAGAAAGCAACGTAGAAATTTAACATGGCACTTGGTATATATATAGAAAGCAGGCTTACATCTTCATCTGTCAACTCCACATTGAAGACATGGCCTTCTCCTCTGGCATTCCTATATGACCTCAAATTGCCTTTGTTTGTGAGTCGAACCTTTATGGTCCAATTTCCCTGATACGGATTTAAAGAGGCAAGAGGATGCACTCTTCTTGTCATTGCCAGTCGTGCAGCAGGAGCAGCACTGCAGGAGATTTAGTAACAAAATCACTTTGCAGTTGGATTCCAAAAGGTGATGTACATGACAATATTACTAAGAATACGCATAGCGAGCATGAATGAATCAACAAATATACCCATTACATATCAGATAGCACAAATGACACTTACTTCCCATGCTGCTCACGAACAATTTGAACAGCAGACTTTGTCACCATCTCTTGCTTGGGCTTCAAACTCATTCCAAGTTCCTCTTTCTTCGCATCACTTTTGATCAGTGCCTCTTGCTTAGGTTTCAGGATTATTCCCGTCTCTTCCTTCTTCACATCACTTTTAATCTCCATATCAAGTGAGGGGCAGACTATTTCACATTTTGTCACAATCAAAGCCCTGGAAGCGCGTCAATCAAGATTAGCCCTTGGCCATCAAGGTTCTTCCGATTGTAAGGGCAAACAAATTTTGCGATCATTTGCACTTACTTTTCAGGTTGATTTGGAATGGAGTTGCAAGTGTAATCAAGAATGCGGATGAGGCCAAGGTTCTGGAGTTTGCCGGAATTGATTTCTGAAGAAAAATGAGTTGGAAGCATGGCTTTGAGCTTCATCTTCCCATCACTAGCCATAAATCTGCCATCAAAAATATAATTAGCTTCTGAAGACGGCAGTTTCCTTAAGATTCTTAAGGAGACCATACGGGGAACCAATAATTTTGGTCCACACAACCATGAACAGATCTAAGAAGCTAATTTGAATCGCTTGATACTGGCCAAAAAGATGCAACATGTATAACACGAACATAGTTCTTCTCTCAAAGATCTGGCAGAAAGTTATAGTCTAGCATAAAAACAAACAACGGAGAGGCAGATGTTTCATTTCCAAGAAAATAATGAAGAGAAGAAAACAAATCTGTAATAGAGAGAAGCGATCCACAAGAAGAAGACAGAGAGGAAGCACTGACGTGAAGCGGGTGCTGCTGCTGCCGATGGGCTTGAGATCGACGACCTGTACGATGATCTCCGGGATGTCGGAGGGCGAATCAGGAGACGAGTTGGAGAGGAGCATCGAGACCGCTCCTGGCGTCACCGACTTCCTCATTTCCACTTGATCCGACGCCATGGAGATCCTCTGATGGATAATGGTGGGAAGCAGCAGAGATTTGGGGGAAGACGAGAGAAGAGGGGAAGGGGGAAATGAAGGGAGAGGGAGAAGGGGAATCCTCTTTTATTACCCGGCGAATCGATCGTATATGGCGGGAAGAGGCTTTGGAGTGCTTTTACCGCGGTTTTTTTTGTGAAACCATGTGGAGTGCTTCGAAATATTTTTGGGAGGCCGTCTCGTCGTTTCGCGCCTTTTGGCGCCAAGCCCTATGGGGCCTACTATAATTCTTCCGGACCGAACCCAGCCCATTTTGAGCGGGCTTAGTTAGAAATCTCTACTGAATTGATTACTATGATTGAATTGCAATTAAATATACACAAACAAATAGTGGCATGTTGCTTATTATTTTTCGTAGACAGTTGGAACATGCTGTTGATGCTTAAAGGGAAAAGAAATTGGAGCCTCGATACATACTCCTTTCTTTGAGCAAATGATGCCATAAGTTATTAAAAATCATAAATTTACTTTTTTTAGGAAATCTAATGATGGTCAGCTCTAAAAAATCGTGTACTGATATCATATGATGCATGAAATACTCTTTAAAAAAACCATAAGTTGGTAATTCTAAGATAATGGGAATAAGAAGTATTAGGGTGAAAAATTATCGAAATAATGCTATATGCTTTTTTTTTTTCCCAAAAAGCATAATTAAGCTGTATTAATAAAGAAGTCTTTTACACCCATAGAGACCAAAATCTCCGAATCAGGAGGATGGCTATCGTACCAAAGTCTTACATTTATTCAACCCAGCAAAACTTTCCAACCAGTGCCTAAGTAGCATGATTTTTTTGAAGAAAACTAAAATCACATTATTCTATTATGGTAGTAAGAACAAGAGAATTAGAATGTCTATAAAAATCATCTGAAAAATCAGATCCCCAAGCGACAAACGAGCCTTGATCGAGCAATGTTAAATAAAAAATGTAATATGATTGCCTTCTACGTAGACATGAATAACCTTTAATTCTCGGTTCAACTCCTCCAAAATATCGTAAATCACATTACTACTTTCCCAAGGAGCCCAAGGAGGTTATGTTTGTTGTCGATTAACAAGACTAAATTATCTGCACCTATCTATCTCCATATGAATTTTTGTGTCCCCTTTTGCTTAACAAACATGAGACGAATGACAGCTGCCACCTTGTATAAACTTGATCTATCAATAGTGCTTCTATATCCTGCAAACAAAGTCATTGAGTTATAAAATCTTAGAATGAAACCTAGACCTCCATCTCGTGAATGATGATCGGGTCCATCAGTATTAAGTTTGTGTCGAAAAACATCATACATTTATCACTTGACATTTATGTTGCTATGATAAGGTATATTTTGGGCACCGGTCACTTCACGATCAACGCTACACCATGCCACCGCCAGGTTAGCAGGAGTACTCCCACATGCCAAGCCAGGATCCGTACCAAGGTGTTGCTCGATACGTCACATCCCGAAAAGCTCGGGACGGTACCATATGGCGTCGTTCCGCACGTTCCGGGATGGCGGCCGCACAAAGGTACCTCCTCGCCTCTCGAGGATTGGCCGCCACACCAAACCATATACGATCGACCCTCATACAATAGTATAAAAATCCCTGGTCGGCATCTGGACAAAAAAGGAGAAGACAAACAAAACCAACCAAGCACTGACTTACTCGTTGAGGGGTCAAAGTCGGTAACCACCTAACGAGGACCTTCTGTACAGGAGAGCAGCCACCCCCCGAGCCGCAACCCTCACGATCGAGAGTCACCAACCAGCATCCCGACCAAGAGACACCAACCAACATTCCGGTGCCAGCATCCCATCCTACGGGCATGATCGACCTCGGCAACTAGCTCAGCCGACCGAAGACTCCCGACATTGACCTGCAGATTGAGCTGTGTTGACTCACCAGCCACGACGTATCGGTTCATCAACATTTTAGCGCTAGAAGAAGGGCCATGTCACAGGAGCACCCCGCAGGAGTTCCCCTCGAGGGAGAACCACCGGCCGGCCACCCCCTTCCAGACTCGAGGATCAGCCCCTCCCCGTCCTCAGAGACAGGGGGATCCCGGCCTCGATGCCGGATCGCTACTGGCACCTATTTAATGATCCGAGGCTCTTTCCCCCCGGATATACCACAAGACCCTCGGTTGTTTCGCCTGAGGCGTTCCTCGACTTGGCCAAGCAAGTACAAGCCTTGGCGGGAATTATGCAGATAATCGTCCTGCTCATGCCATATATTGTGCAACTAGCGGCTCCCTCGACCTACCTGACGCAGCAAAGGCCGAGCAAGGAGCAACTTGTGATAGGAGAAGCCCGAGAGTAGACAATAAATCTGAGAGGCCTACCCGAGCAAAGCATGCCCGCACCTGGCCGGATCGCTCCATCCTACCCCGAGCCTGATACCATATCATCGGACTCGGCATATGACTCATTCAGGATCCAACTGTCCATGGTCAACCAACGCCTGGATGAGTTCCAACGCGAATTCCAGAAGTCGCGGGGCGAGATGGGCAAAGGCAGCTCAAGTGGATCCCCCTTTACTCAGGAAATATAGGACAAGCCTGTACCACTCAACTTCAGGCTACCAGCATTGGAAACGTATGACGACGACTCCGACCCCGCAAAGCATGTCGCTACGTTTCAGGCTCATATGGCCCTTTACGGCACCTCTGATGCCCTGATGTGTCAGGCATTCCCGACCACCTTTAGAGGACTAACACGAGCATGGTTTAGCCAACTACGCTCGTTCTCGGTCTCATCCTTTGATCAGCTCACAAGGGAGTTCGAGCAAAACTTCTTGGCCAACGTGCGACCTAAGCCTTCAATTGCCACCCTGCTCACGTTATCCCAACGTGAGGATGAATCGCTCTCCCAATTCATGGCACGCTTTGCCATTGAAATCCGGGGATTCCCGGATGCTCACCCTTCTTTGGTCATGCAAGTGTTTCTAATGGGTTTGAGGCCCTTGAGGTTCTTTTGGTCGCTGATTGAGAAGCCGCCCGTGGCTATCCTCGAGATGGTAGGGAGGCACGAGGACAACAAGAGGCCGAGGATGGAGTAGGCTCGAGGAGCGGCTTCGGCACCACCAGTGCAACCTCGCAGGAGGCCCGATCGGCCCAAGCTGTTACTCCCGAGGTCCCCGCCTCTGCCTCTGAATATATCCTATACCGAGATATTTCTCCAGATCAGGGAGAAAGGTCTACCTCAAGAAACCAAGAGAAGCAACTCCGTGCCCTAGGGGACCTGTTGAGGGGCAGATCGATGTCATTACTAGAGGACAGGTAGCAAGCGGCAACAGCTCAACGGCAAGGAAAGCCTACGCCCGAAGCACGATGGAAAAATGCCCTAGACCCGAGTTCGAGCCTAAAATCACTTTCGGAACTAAGGAGGTCGAATGCTCCCATCATGACGACGCTTTGATGATCTCTATCCAAATCTTCAACGCTCGGGTCAAAAGGGTGACGGTTAACACCGGGAGCTCTGCCGACGTGTTGTACCTCGATGCCTTTAAGAAGCTCGACTTAACCAATGAGGACCTCACTCCCATGACCTCGGCGCTCACCGGATTCACCGAATATTCCATCTCCCCACTCGAGACCACCACATTCCCCGTCACCATTGGGGAAGAGCCAAGAGCTAAGACGACAATGACTACCTTCATGGTAGTCGATCTACCCTCGGCCTACAACGTCATCCTCGGTTGCCCGACACTTAACAAACTAAAAACGGTAGTTTCCACCTATCACCGGGCCATCAAATTTCCAACTTCAGCAGGGGTTGGGGAATCCCGAAGCGACCCAGGCGAATCAAGGTGGTGCTACCTTATAGCAGTTACTCTCCCGGAGAAGTCACACCCCCGTCAAGTCCCAGATCCCCGTAAAGGAGTCGCGACACCAATGCACCTGGAGCCCCCTGAACAAGTCACCGAGGTACCCTTAAAGAGGAACCGACCCAATTTGATTGTAAAAATCAAGACGACACTCCTCGAAGCAAATCAACTCCAGCTCATCGATTTCCTGAAGGAAAATGCTAATGTGTTTGCATGGTCCTCTAAGGAGATGCTCGGGATCAACCTAGGGGTGACCCAACACCACCTCAACATCCACCCCGAGGCTAGGCCGATGAAGCAAAAGCCAAGGAAGTTCGCTCTCGATCGACAAAAGGCGATCATCGATGAGGTCAACCGCCTTAAAGAGGCAGGATTTATAACCAAGGTGAAATATCCTCGGTGGTTGTCGAATGTAGTCCTCGTTAAGAAACCCAATGGAAGCTAGAGGATGTGTGTTGACTACACCGATCATGCCCCAAAGATCGTTATCCATTCCCAAGAATAGACCAGTTAGTTAATGCCACCGCAGGCTACCAACTCCTTACGTTTATGGACGCATTCTCGGGCTACAACCAGATCCGGATGGCACCACAAGACCAAGAGAACACTACCTTCATCACCGATAGAGGAGTGTATTGCTACAAAGTGATGTCTTTCAGCCTGAAAAACGCTGGGGCGACTTACCAAAGATTGATCGACAAGCTGTTCAAGCAACAACTTGGGAGGAACATGGAAGTGTGCGTAGACGACATGATCGTGAAGAGCAAGATTGTAAGCACACATCTGGCCGACCTGGCAGAGACATTTCGAATTCTCAAGCGGTTCAACATGCGACTGAATCCCACCAAGTGCATCTTCGGGGTCAGCTCAGGAAAATTCCTCGGTTTAGTCATTCACCAGAGAAGGATAGATGCCAACCCAGAAAAGGTTCGGGCCATAACTGAGATGCAACCCCCGTGCTCGATCAAGGAGGTGCAGCGCCTTGCAGGGAAGCTAACAGCGCTCAGCAGGTTCGTGTCACGATCAGGAGACAAGTGCCTTCCCTTCTTCCGGGCACTGCGATAGGTCGACAGCTTTGCATGGACCCCAAAATGTGAGGAAGCCTTCGAAAAGCTAAAGGCGTGCCTCGCTCGCTTGCCCCGACTCGCCTCACCCGAGCCGAGTGAGACCCTCGGTTTTTACCTTGCAGCTTCAGCACAAGCGGTCAGCTCGGTGCTAACTCGAGAAACACCACCAACACAAC